TGGTTTTTTCAAATGGCCATTGCGGCCATGGCATGACACCTACGACTGGAAAACTATACATCATTGGAAAGAGGATGAATTAAACTTTTATTTGGTGATTTTTTTCAAGTCTCTAGCTTCAATACTTTCCGAGATATTGGCATTTAAAAATCGGTCCAAAAACTTTTGGGCCACCCTGTATATATATATATATATACAGAGCCATACCATAATAATATTGCCACTCCCATAAATGAATGTATGTAAAGTCGAATCTGCACGGTTACCATACATACACTTCTTTTGGGTTCTAGAGATGCCAGGGGTGCCACTTGCTAGGGTGTCTGGCGAAAATCAATGAAACCGTTAGATACGGAAAAGCCCCTGCCCTCGGAGCGCATGGTTTTCCTCGACTTTTCAACGCCTCTGAAACGAAACTAAATGCGAAAAATCTCACAAACATTCTTTGCTTCAGGTAAAATCAGACTTTTGTCGGAGTAGATGGTGTTTGGAATTTATTATTATACGTATACTAAGTGATACATGAAGGAATGCCAACTTTATTCGACCAATCGAATAAAGTTTTAATCAACATTGATCTAATCGAAATGAAATTAATTTTACTCGGTCCTCGACCCTCACTACGAATGCCTGTCTTTCTCTTAATATTTCGCTGCAAAATTCACAGTTTTATAATAAAAAGAAAATTGAATGTGTGTGAAAAACCGGATGAAAATAATGCTTCCAATGAGCAGCCTTTCTTGAGCTACTCATCTTTAGGGTTCATTTTTTCAAAGAGTGAGCCGCAAGAACAAAGGCAATGTTTTCCCAATAATAGAATGGAAACAAGAGCCTTGTGAGACGGAAAGCCTGAATGGACATTGGGCACGATGGCCATAAGGGAAAAGTCCATCCTGTCCGCTTTTCTAAACCATCCTGACAAAGCAGCGTGCAAAAACACTCCGTAATGCAGGGAGATCCGGGTAATGCATGCATTTCCTCTGTAGACCTTCGTCTTTTCCGTATGCCCGAAGTCGATAGGCTTAAAGGCGTCAATCGAAGACTCGAATCGGATCAATCGCCTAGCAACTGCTCGACTCGTGGTAGCTTGGAACATGAGGGTATGTGAGGGTGCCCGCTCACCAACGCGATTCGGCGAGGATTGTTTCCATTCCCAGCAGATTTCACTCGCACAGTGAAGCAGACATGATGTCCATTCACTGCATGCCGATTCAGGAATGTCTGTCCTTTCCCGAACGGTCGCTCTAAGATCCATGCCAATTAGGAAATTCTCCGACCAGGTGAAAGACAACTCCTGGAGCCCTCTCCGATCGGGTCTGCTTTAGCGCACGTCCTCCCATACAAAGTAGTCAGATCGAGTTACGAAAGAACCTCCGATCAGCGAAAGAAGATTCCGTGCTCCTTTCTTAATAGAATTCCACGGTATACAAGGATTTTCCAGCATTTTTTAGCACTGAGACTGGATACCCGTGGAAGGCAGATAAGGTCTTTCTGAATTCCTTTGTCCCCACCATCTTCAAATCAAAATCTACTCATTATGGTAGACTATATTATCGCCTCTCCACATTCAGAGAAGAAAGTAGGAGCTTCATTAATATTCAATTAATCGATTAGCAGCGAGATAAACAAGTCACAAGAGATCAGCATCCTAATTAACCCTTAAGTGAGCATGACGCATATATCCGTCGTCGTGATATGCTCCCCAGTTTGTCATGCTATCAGTCTAAGCTAAATACAGTATAAACTTGAAAAAGAGAAATAAACTTTTTCCACAAACACTAATTATTATTCTCACGAAAAAAGTTGTCTCTGATGGTAGACTTCTGTTCGAGAAATTCCCCACTTAATGGGTTAAATCAAATTCTTTGAAAGCAAGGAATTTCACCTTTTTTTTTTCTTCACTCTTCCTTTCTTCCTGTGACCTTGTGCATTACAAGTTTTTCGAAAGGAAGGCCATTCCGGCTCATGCAGAATAACAAAAAAGGTTGGAAAATCAAGCGCAATAGGATAAATTGCTTAAAGAGTACCGGAAAATTGAGTTTTTGGGTTTGACCCTGACAATGGATACAAAAAGGGCTCCTTATGAAAACGAAACTTCAACTTCAACTGTGAAATGCACACCCACAAAGAGTACTTGTTCAAGAGATAAACCTGCAACAGTTTGCCAGACTTATATCAACATGATTGGATTTCATATTTCACTGGACAAAAAATTTCACTTTGTCCGGCCAAGAAGTATGCATGGATGGCACACTGTAAATGTGGTACAAGAATGCACTGTACAGTAAGACTCATAACATTCAAATATGTCTTAGTATGATTAAGTTCTAAGTCCTACAAATTTATGGCCACAAAAAGTGGACATGGCTTAAAGCATAAGTAAAAGTAGAAGAGAGGCAGACAAGAAATTATCCACTGGAATCCAGAGCAAAACTCCTCTTCTTCTGACTTCCCTCACAAAACTATTATGTTTTGAGTTGTTTTTCCCAAAAGTTCATGCAATTCATAGGGCAATCAGGAAGATCCAAGGGGCGCTCATTTTGCTCCAATTTTCAATAAATTTATTTCAAAGTTTCTTCAACTTAGACACTATTATCAGATAGTGGTACAAACTTCTCTTCTCTTTCCAAGATTCAAGATTTGGGAATAGGAAGAGAACATTCTGACCTTCATGCACATCCCTTATCAAGGTAAGATGTCAAGATTTCTTCAGTAACATCCCTAATAAAATGTTTTCATTTCTTCAAAAATGGTGTTGAAAACATCTCCCATAAAGGGCATAAATTCAATATGGCAATGAAATTTATTCCTACTCATGCCATGAATGGAAACAGAAAAACATGAATAAAAGAGTCTCACTTGACTGAAATGCTAACTTTCACCCACTAGGAGAATCTTTGAAGATCTTGAGAGAGCAATCAGTGCTCCCACTCAAGAGAAATCCTCCAGCAGACCAATCACAGCAGAGAATCTTGTCTTCATGTCCACTCATGTCATACAGTGGTGCCTTCACACTAAAGAAAAAACAAGAAGAGTATAATACATATCCCCAGGATTTTTATCATTTTAATTGTTTCATGAAAAATTTGCTATGAAATAAAGGTCTTCAACTTTTATTGACATCAAATATTGGAAAGATCATATCAAAAGTTAGACAATGAGCCTATGCTCTGAACCAAGACAAACTTTAAAATATTATAAAAGTGTCATGTTATGGGAAGTGGACATACCTGCGGATGTCCCACAGTCGAAGCGTTTTATCATGGCCCCCTGAAATGAAGAGGGGTTGGGAAGGTTTTGGACTCCACTTGACACATGTCACCCAGCCATCATGTGCTGTGAATGTTGCCTTCACCAAGCTCCCCTCTATAATAAAAATAATAATAATAATAATCAGGAAACATTTCCTAACACAGATGATAGAAATGGTATTTTTGAATGAAATGAGAAGAGGAGAACCTTTCGATCGAGGATCATAGAGACGAACGTGCCGGTCAGCAGCTGCTGTGATCACGAGGTTGAGGTCTATTTTCCAGTCAGCATCAAAGAATGCTTTGTTTCCAACGATTTGGGACTTCATTCCACCTAGCTCAGGGTCCCAGAAACGGATCGTGTGATCCCAGGATGCAGTCAGGATTTCCTCATCTGAGGGCCACACTACAGCTGAAACTGCTTCTGTGTGTCCTGACATGGTCACTAAGGGGACCTAAATCGAAAGACAGGAGTCTGGACCATGAACCACACCTAGATCTATAATATTTAAAATAACTTTTCCAAAAAAGTCACTCACCCTGGTTTGAACTTTAGAGCCCAGAGTTTTGACCTTTTTAGCATTGCCTTCTTGAACTGTTCCATCATCTTGACTGCCTTGGTCCTCCAATTCTAAAGGTGATAGAATATAACAAAGACAGTTTTGAAAATAAACTGAAAATAAGGATCTAGCACCAAGAATCATCAATATTGCATGATATTGAGAGAAAATAGTTAAATGGGCAAAATAAGAAAATTAGTTTCCTAAGAATATGTGCCCTGTGATAAAGCTATGCCCAAGATATACCCATCACCTTTTGCAGGAAGGGAATGAAATTTCAAGTTTTCTGGAATTAACTGCTGTTGCCCTCTTTTATTGCAGTTCCCTCAGTGTACATCTGTGTACAATGTACAACCCTCCTTCCTTATTCCTCCTTCATAAGTCATTCAACAAAAAGTTCCTAGACTGAATCTTTCTTTAATCCACTTCATAGCAGGACTAATTGGAAGAAGACCATCATTGGGTGGTCTTCTTCCAATTAGTCCTGATTCCACATATGTGAAACAAGGTTCTAGGCCACTTCTTGCAACCATTGCTATAATGGCTGCTAGCTGTTTTTATCAATTCAAAGAGGTACAAGCAGCCATGATGTCAGAACCTGAAGTGGTTACAAGAAATGGCTTCCAAATTTGTTCCATAGAAGTATAGGTCTAATGGAAAAATTGTGCAACTCCCTTTAGGAACTTTGAAGGAGGGTTGGTATGGAAAAAGTCCAGTCTAGGAACTTTTTAATAGGTCCTCATTATATTTACTTGAATTTGTAATCCAGGAATCCCACCTAGGAAAACCTGATTTACATGAATGCCCCTTGCAAAAAACCAAGGGGCATAATTGCTATTTTTATTGCACAATTACTATTTTCTGAGTCCTCATACTTCTGCCTACAGCAAGACTTCAGTCAATTCCAGTGTCTATTTTAATATAACATTGCAGTATCAGATACTATTGGCTTCAAAGAGAATGTCAGGCAAATGATAGCATCCAGCTCTGCAGCTATGAGCAGAGACACCTCCTGGACTGATGAATACATCACTTCCAGCATTCCATTGTCTATTTTCTTCTTGTTTCCCTATACCCTTTTGCTAATACCAGGACATACCTTAACCCATAACTAATGTTCTACTAAAATCGCTGTAATTATAAAACTATCAATACAAAGCATCCAATAATTTTCATACACATTGTTCAAAAGCTGGAAAATTTACAATAACCATCATCAGATGTCACCACTCATAGTTCATTACATATAAAGCTCAGTAACTGAAATATTGCAGAAAAATTTGTCACTGAAAGGGTTAATGTACAAAATGCACCAGATGACTACTTTCAACTCTCCTGTTTCATTTCATATTTTGCAGAATGGAATAAAGGACAATATCAAATGTTTTTCTCCCAAAAACAAAGGATAGAGTAACACAAAATCTTTCCTCCCATCCCATCTTTGTGAGCAAACTCAAACTTAGTCCATTGGTGAGAAATGTTACTTAAAACTCAAATGAATGGCCACCAAACAAGTATAGCAGAATGCATACCAAATTCACAGTAAACAGTAACAAGCTGAAGTATTGAGGAGCCAAAAATCCCTGATAAGAAAACAAAAAACAAGTGTGTAAAGAGGGAATGCAGTGAGGATTTTAAATTTTCAATTAAGAGCATTACCGAGGCTTTGTGGCACTCTGAAGTAGCAATATACTCCCTCTTACCTTCCATTAATTTCTTTTAAATCATCTAACTGCTGCAATTAAGAAATACTTGAAATGAATTACTTTTCTTAGTAAATCTTCTTCCTCAAAACAATTTTTCAAAAGGAAATCATCAAGAGTGAAAATCAAATTCATTGAATTATTTCCATGACTGTTGAATTCCTAATTCTCAACAGAATGTCAGAGAATTTTGATGAAGGATGAATAAATCCTGCTTCAACAAAGAATTCTACTTCAGAGTGAGTTCATTCAAGGGGTACCATTCACTATGTGATGATAGTAACATTTCATGATGTACATAGATATCATATTTTTGTATATGATTGTTCCACAGTCCTGAAGTCATGAGGTAAGTACTAGGAATTGGTAAGCTGTTGCCTTAGAGATGAGCACAATGACCCAGCCAATACACTTTCAATCCAATTGGTACTTAGCTTGCCTTGCGTGCAGGCCTTTCACTCCAAACATGTATATAACATTTCTACACCTCTCATACAGAAAATAATATTACAAACAACCATGTCATAAAAAAACTGGCTTCTAAAGGGAAACAAAGTTATGAACTTGGATAAACCAGGTGACAACTAGGTTTACTCAACTGGGATATTAACTACACTGACCAGCAGACCACATTTTGATGTAGGTGTCCCATGAGCCTGAGGCAAACATCTGCTTGGATGGGTTGGGTGCAACGCATTCAACACTGCGTGAATGCCCTCGACCAATACTGATGCACTCAATCTCATTTGATCTTGAATCCCACCTCCATAGCATGACTGTCTGGTCATGTGATGCACTTGAGGAAATACATGGATTTTTTGGAAATTTGCTCAACAAAGAAAACAGGTAACCACAAAGCACATTGTGAAAAAAAAACCTACCTGACAAAAGTATGCGTGTGGTCTGAAGTCTCCAGCCAGGAAACAGCTTTAATGGGCCCTCCATGCCCTGGAATGGTGACTTTGTGATTCCCAGTCATGTCCCAGACATGTAGAGTGTTGTCATAGCATCCTGTCAAAATCCTTTTTCCAAAAACATGCCACATAACAGTTTTTCAAAAAGAGAGGCCAAACAATAATTTCCAAAGAGAATTATGCAAAAAATATTAACCAATAGCTTCAACAAGGTTGCAACATAAATGTTACTCCTTACCACTTGGGGCTCTTATCTGCATGAATGGCTGATACCCAATCATCATGAAGTAGGGATTTATGGGGCTCAGGAGCTGGCAGTTTCTCCACATATTCAATCTCAATAACAGCTTCTGTGGAAATGCCCTTTTCTTCCAGTTGATCACCAAGAGAGACCCGTAGGAACTCCCCGGCAATAAGGAAGTCATATGCTACATCCTTCCACACATCATGATCCTCTGCAAAATCCAAACAACTTCATATCAAGACAAGAAAGAAACTGTCAAATCAACCACATACCCAGAAATAAGCAAGTCATATGCAGAGTAGTATTCATAAGTGGCAATGCACACATAGCTGGTCAGCTATTTTAGCTGGAAGGTCTGGTATTTTAGAATAGTTGCCAAGGGGGTACTTCAGTGAAGCAAGGGTAGCCAAAAAAGAAGGCATTAAGTGCATTCAATTTGCCAACATCTTTTACTCAAGTGAATCATCATTATGCAAAATGTAAAGGAAATCCTCACACATCACCCCACATACACAAAACAGTATTATATGGTGTTGTAATATGAAGCTCATTGCAAATGATGTCAAAGCCTGATGGGATATGACATTCTCATCAATCATGCTTCAAGCAGGGGGCATGCAATATTGCCATACTTCATGCACTCATTCTGTTTCACAATGATTAAACTTTATAAATAGCATGCCTGAAGTACACTTCAAGCTCTCTGTCAGACACTAGACACTTATGCATGGAATCAGCCTCATTCATCAGCAAATAAATAAAATTTTCTATTTGTAATGATGAGTTTAGTATTATGCTATTTCCAGCAGTTAGTTCCTGTATGATGGTTTACCTTTCAAGATACCATTGATGAGACTACTCAGACCATCAACATCTATCTTGGTAGGGATTGAGTACAGGGTGTCTGGAATGGCATATCTGAAAAATAGAATATACCAATAATTGAACATACATATCAGGATCCTAGGCACAGAAATAGACTTATGGACACTAACACCTTCATACTAATATTTCACAATTCCTCTTGGTCAGAGGGACTTTTACAGCTAGGCCTAAGGCAAAGTTTTTTATAATTCCAGTCTGAGGCCCCATCTAGGATAACACTACAGTCAGGAAGTCAAAGCTTGGTTAACTTGTATTACTTCCAATATGGCAGGCCTACAACCAGCCCCACAGACAGTGAGTAGGCTGGGGGAGCAACTGATCCCCTTCCCCATTGGGAAATATTGGCTGCAGGGCATCCATGTTTCACTGAGAGGCTGCAATTTATGCTTTATGCTTGAACTTCAAAAAGATACGATGCATATTCATAAACCCATAGGCCTCCAAACATGAGCACTCTTGAAAGAGAAATTATATTTGGAAAGGCAGACGCCTTTAGAAAGAAATTGAGTTTTCCAAACCAAAAAGTGGAGCCGTTTAAGCCTACTGTAAATTACACCTTTTCCTACTTAAAAAAACAACCTCCATACTGCATTTTACTAGGCTTATAGGAAGTCTAAGATATGAGAGTGAGCAATGGATGCAAATTGAGTTCATGGCTCACTTTTGTAGCTTTGTGACGAAGCGTGCTTGCACCTGACCGGCCGTCGATGTCCCCGCCACCTCTGCCATCTTTGGAGATTTGTTACGGTTTCTTCATTCACGTAAGTATGTCTTCAGGAAGAACAAGAGCTTGGAGAACAATGCACAATCCAAGCCTCAATCCACCACGTGCCGGTTATGACTGACTAGCGAGCCGCCACAGGGAAAAGGTTGGTGCTGCTATCTCTCGAGTAAAAGCAGAACTGTGGTAGTAAGAAGCGAAGATGAGATGTCACCAACATGCAATCGCTCTTCCTCGAAGTCCCTTCGAGCTCAAACGAATTCCCTGGAGTCGGAGAGAAGTACGTCACGTGAGTTCTGTCGATCTGGCATGCATTTTCTGAGACAGAATACAGTAGATGTGTCAAGAAAGGAGAAAAGTTTCCTTGAAATCCTTACAGATATCGATCCCTTCGAGTTGAGTCCGTCTCTCCCCCCCCCTTCCTTTAGAGCTCCTTACACCTGCTCGAGCATGCTCAGATACATCGCATATTCAACCCGAAACCCCGATCTAAACCAAAAAAAAAAACTGTGATGACGTTCAGGGCCCTGGCAACACTTACGCAATGGCAAGCAACATATGTCAAAGAAAAAAAGACTCAATTTTCCAGCCCGCGGTGTCTTGGCTTTTGAGGCATGGCGACGGGAAATGACAAAAAAACCTTCAGATTTCATCTGATTTTGGCACTCGGGGAGACACAAATCGTTTCTCATCTTCTGCAGATTCGACTCGAATTCCCGAGAACTTTTCTGGCCTGTAAGCATTCTCCTACCGTGAGCTGCACGAACGCTCTCGATTTATTAGCCTATACGTTCGTTGATGGATGTGTTTATGGATTTCGTCCTTCCAGTTACTTCTTTGAATTCCGTCTGCAGGACCGAGCAAGACTTCCTCGGCCTCAGCGTTCCCGCCGGTTCTCATTAATCATAAATAATTGATCCGGATCGGCCCGACTGCCCTCGGAATGGCGGCTTACGTGACGTCGGAGAGGTCGGCTATGGCATCTTCCCCAGGAATTAAAAAAAAAAGAGGTTGCGGGGGAGGCACGAGTCTTCGTTAGCTTCGGTTCCCTAGCCGGGAGATATTCCGGAAAAAAAAGTCGACCCCGATCTCGAACTCGTTTCGGAGGAAGAAATCCGTGAAAGGCGGATGGAAATACGGCTTTCTCTGGGTCCAGATTTCTTCGAGATCCAATAACGTTGTTGTAAAAACCGGGGATAAATACCGCGTGTTTTCGAGGATCTCCCTAATCCCGGCGAAGAAATCTGTTTGTGAAAGGATTTGAGAGAAACCCGAGGCGGGATTGGGTCCTCAATGGGAATTTCGTGTCCTCTCGAGTGTGAAATGCTGCCGGGCTTATCGCAGTCACGTGGGGGATGGATAACCGCGGGGTTTACCGCAGTTATGGGAATCCCATAAGCGAGAATATCCCATTTCCCATCGTGAAATTCCACAAGAAAAGAATTTCATCCTTCGCTGCTCGACCCAAAAGGCGATCGATTTTCCCAATAAATCCAGAAATGCACTCCTTCCTTCCTTCTTTTTTTTTAATTTTTTTTTTTGTCTCTCGCAGACGAAACCGAAGAATGCGAAAGAATGGAACATTCTGTCCGAGGGGGGCAATTTCGTCCGGAAGGAGCCCTATAATCCCGCATTCCTGGCACCTCACGCGAACTCATTCATCCGGAAAAACAGCCGAGAAGGGGGCGAAAAACCATCTCCAGGTGGAAGCGAGAGATTTCCAGGGAATTTCCCGAGACCCTCGAGGGGAAATGGGAGTCATTCAGCTCTTTTATTTCCCGCCCCGAAATCACGGGTTCAGATCGATGAGAATCGTCTCAACCTGCAATAGAAGACAATTGAGGGTAAAAACGTCGGATCCTCCCCCCTCGGCCCCCCCATTTGCCCCCCTTCCCCCCTCCCTTTCCCCGTTATTTTTACCCCCTAGGAAACTCACTCGCCGGATTTCACGGGAGGGTACCGCGGCTCAAAAGGACATCATGTGCGATTGGCTCCGTTTAACTGTTTTCGATGACGGGAGAATGCCTATCTTCTGCTCAACTGCAATCCCGTCAATACTTCATTGTGTCTTCGCCTTTTCTGAAAGCGGCACGAAACCAGCTTTTTTTTTGCCTGGCGATTCCCAGAGAGGCTCCCCGGTAACCTTTTCCCTTTTTTCTACGTGGAAAAGGTAAATATTTTCACATCCGTCTTTTTCCTTCCGCGAAATTTCGAGTGTGTTATGCCACAACTCTCCCAGGCGATAAGCAGCTTCCGCTCCCCAAGTAGGTCTACATATTTTTATTGACCCCCAGCAGTCTCCACCTCTCGCCTCTTCAACCTCAAACGCGTGAATCACCGATAAATCAGGAAAAGAAATTCCCTCCGCCCCCTCCGCCCCATATAGAACCATGAAACCACGTCAAGTATGGAAAAGACTCGACGGTGACTCTCCAGGCGGGAAGGGGCGGCATAGAATCCGCCCCCGATTCAATCCATTCTCCACGCATTAATCCCACTTCGCTGCACTCGTGAGCAATCCCTCATTTGTCCTCACATCTCTCCTTTATGTCCCGATCCAAAATATCCCCTTTTCGACCCGATGCCGCCTTTTCCCTGCCAACTGCCCCGCTCCGCCGAGAAACCCCGCGAACGAACGCCTCACTCACCGCAAGAACCTGCACTTAAAAACGATTTACAACTGCAAATTTTCAAAACGCATTTCGATCGCGAATCGTCCTTCCTCAACTCGATCGCGACTCGCCCTTCCGATCGCGACTCCTCTCGTCTAAAAGCATTTTTTATCTCCAGACCTTGAAACCGCGAAAAAGATAACTCCAATCTGTCAGACTTCCCCAAGTTTTTCACAATTCACCC